CACATAAAAATTCTCAATATTTTCTTATTATTAGTAGGTACAAATCTACGGTCATTGAAATTTTAGAAGGTGAAACTGTTTCTTAGCATTTCTCAAAAACTGTCCGTACTGATAAATTAAAATTATTACTAGACATTATTTAGATCACAAAGAACATTGAAAAAAATATACCACACCCCTGCGCCCCTTCGGTCTTTGAAATTTTTAAGGGTGAGATATGTTTTTCAACTTTTCTCAAAAACGGCCCGTACTGACAGGTTCAAATTATTACTAGACATTATTTACATCACATAGAACAATAAAAAAAATATACCATACCCCTGCGCCCCTTCGGTCTTTGAAATTTTTAAGGGTGCAATACGGTGAAATATGTTTTTCAACTTTTTTCAAAAACGGCCCGTACTGACAGGTTCAAATTGTTACTAGACATTATTTAGATCACATAGAACAATAAAAAAAATATACCATACCCCATAAGCTCTTTGTGACTTGAATATCTGATAATAATTTGAACGGGTCAGTACGGACGGTTTTTGAGAGATGCTATAACATATTTCACCGTATTACACCTCTAAAAATTTCAAAGACCGTAGGGGCGCAGGGGTATGGTGAATTTTTTTATTGTTCTTTGTGATCTAAATAATGTCTAGTAATAATTTGAACCTGTCAGTACGGGCCGTTTTTGAGAAAACTTGAAAAACATATTTCACCCTCACCCTTAAAAATTTCAAAGACCGAAGGGGCGCAGGGGTATGGCATATTTTTTTTATTGTTCTATGCGATCTAAATAATATCTAGTAATAATTTGAACCTGTCAGTACGGGCCGTTATTGAGAAAAGTTGAAAAACATATTTCACCGTTTTACATCCTTAAAAATTTCAAAGACCGAAGGGGCGCAGGGGTATGGTATATTTTTTTATTGTTCTATGTAATCTAAATAATGTCTAGTAATAATTTGAACCTGTCAGTACGGGCCGTTTTTAAGAAAAGTTGAAAAACATATTTTACCGTATTGCACCCTTAAAAATTTCAAAGACCGAAGGGGCGCAGGGGTATGGTATATTTTTTTTATTGTTCTATGTGATCTAAATAATGTCTAGTAATAATTTGAACCTGTCAGTACGGGCCGTTTTTAAGAAAAGTTGAAAAACATATTTTACCGTATTGCACCCTTAAAAATTTCAAAGACCGAAGGGGCGCAGGGGTAGGGTAAATTTTTTTTATTGTTCTATGTGATCTAAATAATGTCTAGTAATAATTTGAACCTGTCATTACGGAGAGTTTTTGAGAAATGTTAAGAAACAGTTTCACCTTCAAAAATTTCAATGACCGTAGATTTGTACCTACTAATAATAAGAAAATATTGGGAATTTTCATGTGATATCCTTAGGGAGCACCTAATAAGCCGTTGTTACAAGAGATAAAGGTAAAATATACATATATAAAAAAAACCGACGCCACTGGAAAATTGTCTGATAACTTGTGTCTGATAACTTCACATCAGTTATTACATCAGCATTATTTGACAGACAATAAGGGTGTTTCCAGGTACGGGAGCCTGAATGGGGGAAGGTTTATACTAAACAAGGTTTCTGATGATGAATAGTTGTCTGGCTTAAACGTGTGATGGATGGAACTTTTCCTCGAATTTCTTGAATGCCTATTATTGTACAACAAAATTGTTTTATATGTGTTTATTCAAACAAATAAAAATGTAACTAGATGTTATCAAAATTTTAATATATATTCCATTTTATTTTCACCAAAATTTTATTAAGAGACAATGTGAGTTTGCGAAATCCACAATGCACCCAAACAAAGATCCTTTTGACGTGGAGACGGAATACATTAATTCTGCATGAAACCACAGCAGTGAAGTTTCAATAGTAGAAAACTTTGCAGCGGTTTAGAGACAAAATCTCTTGTACTTTACAGCTATAAGTCGAAGGAATTTAATTTAATCTCTTTATTAATGTACGATGCTTAACAATGGAATACTGATTTCATTTAATGATTGAAAACAGCTATCAATAAAAATATCCCTTTTTGTGGTTTTGACAAGAAAACAAATCTGGTTTGGCCACGTAATCGTCTCTTATCTTGGCATGTTGCCCAAATGCCTTCATGTTTTTACTCCAAATATACGATATTTCATAATCTTGTTATTATGTTCAGTGGGGTATTGGTTTTATTAGAAAATATGTGACTTATCAGTAAGAGATAAAATTAAAGAAAAGCGTGTCGTACTCAACGAAATTGTAGAAGAAATGTTGATGAATGTGACCTTCACAAGTTTATTGTTATTATGAATTGGAAACAATATGTTTAGCTCATTGCATTTTTAACTTTAAGTTTAATTTGTTCATTATTTTTGTATTTGTTGTTTCTGTTTTGGATTCCAGAGCTTCTTTTAAAATAAATCTGATTTAAAATATGGAATAATAAAGTTCTCAGGATTTGTAGAACTTTCTATTCAGGAAATGTTTTAATTTTCTTATTTAAAAATATCCCAAGAAACTTTTCAATAAACGAGCCCACAAAACACCGAAAAACTTCCCAACTCCCGACAGACATTTGCCCTTCTGTGTGAAGAAAACGACCCTGAGGCCGAAAACTTTTCTAAAACAACACAAAAAGAACGATTTGTCCCAAACATTTTTATTATTTGTGCCCCATAGAGCCTGGAAATAAGGTAGACGCAATTTGGCTTACCCTCGTTATCTTCGTTAAGCATCCTTAGAACTAACCAAGTAGTGCGAAATTAAGTTCAAAATCGAGAGATAATGAAATCAACCTCAACAAGTTGGGCAGAGGCTTGAGATGATTTAACTTGTTAGACCTTTGAATGTGAATCTGAGTGGAATTTTACGAGATTAAAGAGGGCAAACTATGTAATCTTCATGAATAAGCTAGGGATAGTAGTTGATAAAAAGGATTATAATAATTTATATTTAGAAAATACTTCTTTTGCCAAATTGCCAGAGACTTTTTCTGGGATGTAAAAATTGTAATTAAATGATTTGACTCATTTACATTAATAGTTAATCTTTGAAGTCAAGTCACATATTTTTAACATTGAATGTAAATAATAGTAAATTCTTGGTTATTTCAGCTTCGTTTCTACCCATTTAGGTTTATATTTCGAAATACGTCATACATTTCAGTTTGGTCAGGGGTAAGCAGTCCATAAATATGTTCAAATATTTATTTAGGAAAGAACAATCGATTGACCATACAAAAAAGTCTTTGGTTTTTCCTCTTCGAAATGAATGTGTCTGGGTCACAAAAGATTTTCCCATTATAATTTCATTGTGAGGCATAAAAGATGTAAGCCCCATCCAGGTATGTATATTGATCCACACCTGCCTGATGTGGATTCTGGGGCACACGGAAATCGAGTTCTGTTGCGTCCTATATTTTACGAAAAAATTGAGAAAAATAAAAAAGAATATAACTTCAGTTTATATCAAACAAAATTTAGCTCCCTATCCGGTCGAAATTTGTCCCCTCTAATAGCTTGTGCGGGATGAATTGAATAGACCCAGAAAATCCTCTACCAGCATACCTATTGTTCGTCGATTTTAATCTGATACTCGGACGGAATGTGAGCTTGTAGCTCTCTACATTAGAACGCCAATGGTTACCTGACGTCACACCTGTTTTTGCCATATGAAGCACCCCCTCGCTCCTCATACCGCAAGTATCAGTTAAAAATCGATGAACAATACGCACTTTTCCTTTTGAATATTGCATGGATCGTAGTGGGAAGATATTTATGGGGCTTCCATAATAATAAAGAAAACATTTTTTTAAACCCCAATTATTCAATAAGCTTTTGCTAATTATTCCCTGCTTAATTCGTTTATCCCCAAAAAAGAAGGTAAAATCGTGAAAAGTTTGCGTGCGGCCTCGTCAAAACCCAATTACTTTTTTTTAATCATGTCGAGGAGTAATTGGTAATAATTATTCGGCAATTTCCTCCGCTCTAAATATTACCGTACAGTAAATGTTGTAGCATTAGGCAACAAATTCGTTCGGAGCAAACGTGTGGGAAATCGAGCAACTGTGTAAAATTACATGGGTGCTGATTGTCTATGCGAAAGTAATTGGTAAATATTGTGATTATTTGTTCAAATTATAAGGGAGTTTGATAAACTTTCAGCATTTAGGCAATAGTTGAAGGAGGAACTTTATTGATGGAATAGGGAGGAGCCTGGATAAGGAGTGGAAGGGGTCGGCGAAAGCAGCTCAATATCTACTAATATTCTTTGGGCTGTTATAGGTGTTGAAACTGTGGTAGATCAAACAGAACATACTTCCAACCAATAAAATAATCAACTAGGGATTGAACATCTTCGATTTGCAAGTGAACTACTTGAAAATCAATAGTAATATTAAAGCGAATAATTACTGAAGTGTAAACCTTATTGAATCAATCAATAACTTAAAAAAGCTATTTGCATTTTTGTTCAAAATGTAGCATGTAAATATAGAAGCCAAAACCTTTTTATAAAACCTCGTCAGCTGAAAAATTTAAAATTACACATACCAAGCACGATTTATATTCAACGAGTGCAATTAGGTTTGGTTCAATAATTGCAGTACGATTTATCCAGTTAGAGAGATTCGGAAACTAACTTTTAATTACCTCGAAATCCGATTTACCACCGCCCTCCAAGAAATAAACAGATCATGTACCACAATCCAATTAAACTCTTGCGGGCAATTATTATCTAACACCAGAATATTCTACTCTGTGGATTATTTAGGAAAGTTGGAAATCAAATTTTCATGAATATTTATTATAATCCATGAAAAAATATCCCTTTGGGAGGGCAACATCAATCTTTTAAAAAACTTCAAAGACGTATACGATACACGTATATTATTTTAATGGATTGAAAAATTTTGTAAATTAATAACGCCTTGAACTTCTTCAAGGAAAACCTTTTTTCATCAGGCACAAGGATACTTTGAATATGTATCAGCATCAAATTTTTTAAAACTCCATTTTCTGACAATCAATCAGGACAGGAAAATTTTATTTGATTTCGGATAAGATAAATGATAACATTATTTTTGAGCGTATCTACATATTAATTTTATAAACAATTCTCGTAATAAACTCGATCAAAGTTTTCTGAGCGACATCGAAAACAACAGGAAAATGATCAGATACTAATTGGTTTTCGAGTTTAGCTTCAACAGCGTGGACAATCAGATGAGGCACCAGATCGTACTTATATTGACCAATCACCGCATAATCCAAAATGTTACCGCTTTTCTGAGTTGGAGTTGATGTGTGAAATATCCCAATATGTCTCAATATATCCACGTGATCTCTACAATTAAAAAAAAAATACATGGAATCGCCTCCTCAATAAATTACCTTTCTAGGGCTTTATGAAGATCATCCGGATTTCTATTGTAATCCCCCATAATCATAAACTGATGATCGTACTCTTGTACAGATCCAAAATAATTACAAATATGATTGACGATGCCTGCAGCGTCACCGCCTCCACTAGCACTAGCGTGTATAGTGAAATAATTGTCTTTCTGGAATTGTACTCCTAAAATAGGCCTGACGCTTTTATAATCTCCAGGTGGTTGCATGATTATGACATGATCAGGCCTGTCTTTGGTGACTATTGCCAGATTGACTCTGTTAGCACCGTGATCGTTGTGAGTATAGTAGATCCATCTTATCTCTTCTCTTTTGGTTGTACCCAAGTTCCATTTGTATTCTAAAACTTCTTGGTGCACTCCGTGAGGATTTATCAAGCGATTGCCTAAAGGGCCTTGTAGTTTTGCCGAACCTTCTGGAGGTGTTCCTGCTTCTTGTAAGGATAAAACTGTTACTGGATGAGTTTTATCAGTACCCACGACCAATTGACGTACGTTGTTTGACCATTTTGCTAATAAAAGTCACTATAGTTATGATTGTGATTGATTAAAGTAGTTCTTACATTCTGTGGCGGCGGATGAGCCTTGCAAATTCCACGTGGCTGCACGTCTTTGAGATATTGCAGCTGAATTCAGGCTTAAGGTGCATAGAGCGAGTAGTAGATGGAGGTTTGTCATGGTGACAAAGATTTAATAATGTTTTTTTTTTGGTTTTTATAGGCCAGTAACCAATATGAATTTTTAATCCAGCATAATAAAGTGCTTGTGGTTTGATAAGCTAATGTTTTTGTTCAATTAAATAAATTATGGATTTAAAATATTCCATTTTTCATAGGATGTCTAAAAGCTGCTATAAAATTATAAGATGGTTAATAGGACACTAGATTTCCTTTAGTTAATGGCACCTAAATTGGGATTTTCCCAGATAAATTTGGGTATTAAAAAGATGAAAAATTGTCCTAAAAAATTATGGCTCATAATAATTCTTACCTAGTGGGTCTAGGAATTTCAATGCAATTAGATTTTACATCGTTTATATGATAAGTAAGCCTGAATCAGTGTTGTCAGATGTCAAATTTAAAATTATCAGGATTTGAGAACAAAATTATCAGATTCCAAGAAAAATTATCAGAAAAAGTTTCTGTCAACTTTTTTGACTTTTTATCTCTATTTTCATTTTTCGGTTCTAGCTGGGACTCTGGGCTATTGTAGATCTCAATAAGAGCTTCAAAAAAGGTTATTCAAGACTTCGAGCCCAAGGGCTTCATTTTCAAGATAATCGGCTTTGAAGCTTTTGCAAAATTTGAGACAAAGTTTTAACTTTGAGCCTCAATATCTTCAAAAGTATTTAGGATATAGAATTGAATCTTATTTTATATTGAAGATTATTTAATTCTGATTCAGAATATATAATTTTACATTATATTTGTTATAATAATAACCGAGTAATCAGCAATTTTATGAAAGAATATCAGATTATTAAAATTTTTTGAGCCCAAAAGCTGCAAATATCGTTTTTATTTTTTTACAAGCCTTAAAACCCTTAAAACAAAGTTGCGTAAATGCTTTTCCACTAATTTTCACCTCTTCTTTTGATTAGTAAAGTCAAAAATTGCAAAATCCAAAAATTCGAACTTTTCCAAAGAGGAAATTGAATTTTCAAATATTTCAAATGCTTGTATTTTGGAAACCAATGAAGCTATTGGCATGAATCTTTTGCCTAATTGTAGTTCTTAATAAGGGATACAAAAAAGGTTATTTAAGACTCCGAGCCCAAGGGCTTCGTTTTCAAGATAATCCGTCTGGAAGCTTTTGCAAAATTTGAGGTAAAGTTTCAACTTTGAGCTTCAATATCTTAACAAGTATTCAAGATATATAATTGAATATTATTTTATTTTGAAGATAATTTAATTCTGATTCAGAATATATAATTTTAGATCATATTTGTTATAATAATAACCGAGTAATCAGCAATTTTGTGAAAGAATGTCAGATTATTGAAATTTTTTTGAGCCCAAAAATTGCAAAAATCGTTTTTATTTTTTAACAAGGCTTTAAAACCCAAAAAGGAAAGTTCTGAAAATGCTTTTCTACTAATTTTAACCTCTTCTTTCGATTTGTGAAGTCAAAAATTCGAAAAACTGAAAATTTAAAAATTCGAACTTTTCCAAAGGGGTGTATATGCATGGAAATTTGATTTCCAAATATTTCAAAGGGCCATATTTTGGAAACCAGTGAAGCTATTGGCATGAACCTTTTGCCCAATTGTAGCTCTCAATAAGGGCTACAAAAAAAGTTATTTAAGACTCCGAGCCCAAGGGCCTCGTTTTCAAGATAATCCGCCTGAAAGCTTTTGCAAAATTTGAGATAAAGTTTCAACTTTGAACTTCAATATCTTTAGAAGTATTTAAGATATAGAATTGACTCTTATTTTATTTTGAAGATAATTTATTTCTGATTCAGAATATATAATTTTAGATCATATTTGTTATAATAATAACCGAGTAATCAGCAATTTTGTGAGAGAATGTCAGATTAATGAAATTTTTTGAGCCCAAAAATTGCAAAAATCGTTTTTATTTTTTAACAAGGCTTTAAAACCCAAAAAGGAAAGTTCTGAAAATGCTTTTCTACTAATTTTAACCTCTTCTTTCGATTGATGAAGTCAAAAATTGCAAAATCCATAAAATTTAAAAATTCGAATTTTTCCAAAGGGGTTGTTATGCATGGAAATTTGATTTTCAAATATTTCAAAGGGCCATATTTCGGAAACCAGTGAAGCTATTGGCATGAACCTTTTGCCCAATTGTAGCTCTCAATAAGGGCTACAAAAAAAGTTATTTAAGACTCCGAGCCCAAGGGCCTCGTTTTCAAGATAATCCGCCTGAAAGCTTTTGCAAAATTTGAGATAAAGTTTCAACTTTGAACTTCAATATCTTTAGAAGTATTTAAGATATAGAATTGACTCTTATTTTATTTTGAAGATAATTTATTTCTGATTCAGAATATATAATTTTAGATCATATTTGTTATAATAATAACCGAGTAATCAGCAATTTTGTGAGAGAATGTCAGATTAATGAAATTTTTTGAGCCCAAAAATTGCAAAAATCGTTTTTATTTTTTAACAAGGCTTTAAAACCCAAAAAGGAAAGTTCTGAAAATGCTTTTCTACTAATTTTAACCTCTTCTTTCGATTGATGAAGTCAAAAATTGCAAAATCCATAAAATTTAAAAATTCGAATTTTTCCAAAGGGGTTGTTATGCATGGAAATTTGATTTTCAAATATTTCAAAGGGCCATATTTCGGAAACCAGTGAAGCTATTGACACGAATCTTTTACCCAATTGTAGCTCTTGATAAGGGCTACAAAAAAGGTTATTTAAGACTCCGAGCCCAAGGGCTTCGTTTTCAAGATAATCCGCCTGGAAGCTTTTGCAAAATTTGAGGTAAAGTTTCAACTTTGAGCCTCAATATCTTTAGAAGTATTCAAGATATAGAATTGACTCTTATTTTATTTTGAAGATAATTTATTTCTGATTCAGAATATATAATTTTAGATCATATTTGTTATAATAATAACCGAGTAATCAGCAATTTTGTGAAAGAATGTCAGATTAATGAAATTTTTTGAGCCCAAAAATTGCAAAAATCGTTTTTATTTTTTAACAAGGCTTTAAAACCCAAAAAAGAAAGTTCTAAAAATGCTTTTCTACTAATTTTAACCTCTTCTTTCGATTGGTGAAATCAAAAATTGCAAAATCCATAAAATTTAAAAATTCGAATTTTTCCAAAGGGGCATGGAAATTAAATTTTCAAATATTTCAAATACTTGTATTTTGGAAACCAGTGAAGCTATTGGCATGAATCTTTTGCCCAATTGTAGTTCTTAATAAGGGCTACAAAAAAGGTTATTTAAGACTCCGAGCCCAAGGGCTTCGTTTTCAAGATAATCCGCCTGGAAGCTTTTGCAAAATTTGAGGTAAAGTTTCAACTTTGAGCCTCAATATCTTCAAAAATATTCAAGATATAGAATTGAATCTTATTTTATCTTGAAGGTAATTTAATTCTCATTCAGAATATATAATTTTACATTGTATTTGTTACAATAATAACCGAGTAATCAGCAACTTTGTGAAAGAATGTCAAATTATTGAACTTTTTTGAACCCAAAAATTGCAAAAATCGTTTGTATTTTTTTACAAGGCTTTAAAACTCTAAAAACAAAGTTGCAAAAATGCTTTCTCACTAATTTTGATCTCCTCTTTTGATTCGTAAAGTCAAACATTGCAAAATCCAAAAATTTAAAAACTCAAATTTTTCCAAAGGGGTAGGTATGCATGGAAATTTGATTTTCAAATATTTCAAAGGGCTATATTTTGGAAACCAGTAAAGTTATTAGCATGAAACTTTGGCTCAATCTGAGACTAGTGTTTGGTGCTCGCACCAGTACGTCAAAACACTCAAAACCAACAACCACCTTCAATGTATTAATAAATTTTTAACTAGAAATTTGAAAAATCTATATTAAAATTGTAGTTCCAATAAATTATGGTAGATTAGCTTGTCATTATCAATTAATGAATCGTAGTCAAAATTATGGTAGAATTCGATAATTATCGGGTCATTGGCAACACTGGATCAAGATCAATATCAATTTCCGCACTCCAATAAAATATAGTCAATTAACTATTGGCATGTTGCAGAGGCATTGGTGAGTCCAAAAGGCATTCGTTTGAAGTTTTTACATTATAAATTTCTAGTAGAAGTATCATCAAGTTAAAATATGAAGTTTATTTTGAAACATCTACTCAAAGACTGACTGCAGTATCTTCCTGACTTACCTACTTTATAAATCCTTGTAAAAAATATAAAAGGTACATATAAAAGTAACGCCACACTATTTGAAGAGAGGCTCACAAATATACATTCCTAAGATTATTTTCCTTTCTTTTTCATGTCAAGCAATAGATTAACTCCTACCTGCTCTTACACAAAGTATATAAAAAGGATATGGGTTAGAGATGAGTGCCAAACACCAACTCCTAGGCCTGGTGGTTTGAGCCAGGTACCTCAAAGAAATCGGTGCGATTCCTGGATAAGGCAAATTCGGATCGCCAGCTATCCCTGCCTCAGATCCGGAATTCGAGGCTGTCGCTGAACCTGATTCGGATTCTGCAAAAGAAATATTTTATATTATACCCGAATGATGTTTGCCAGACTATTACTGGCTTCAAAAGATAATTGAAATTTATTAGGGCTCGAAATTTGATTTCGGGTCCAAAATTGAAATGGGTTTTAATATTTGCTTAGGATTTTGAAATTTGTAAAGGCTTGCAGAAAAAAAAAATGGAAATTAGGTTTTCCCTTTTTGCCTCATATAAGGTTCGCGGACAAGAAAAGCTGAAAAGGTTAAATAGGCATGTGAATGATTAAAGAGATTTTTAAAAGGAAATTAAAGGGCATGATATAAAATAATCAAAATTTGGACCCAAAACAGCTTTTTGAGACGTTCATTGGTAATCAAAATTTGAAATATTTCGAGCTTATGATTAACTCTATTCTAATTATAATCAAAATTGAAACAATTAATGGCTCTTGATTGGTCACAGGAAAATATCGAGCCGATAATAATGAAATTTTGGACTATTCGTGACCCTTGTTTGGAATTAGAAAAA